AAAAACTCCCTAGAAATCCAAAGTAAATAAAAACACTCACCCTCAGCTACAAGAACTACAGCTGTTCATAAAGGTCGGAGTTTGGGGCTGGTTAGTGTCCCTCTCATCCTAACTTTTTCTGCGTCTTAAATCCGTCGGATTAATTCCGGCTCGCTGCTGAGCAGTATTGCTGAGTGGACAGAGCCAGCCGAAGCCCCCTAAACGCATTAAGCCCACACAAACGTAGTTTAGCCTATTATCAGAAAGCGCAATCAACGGCGAGCTAACCGAGGACCGAGAAGTGCCCAAAAATAGGATTTCAGCCTAATCTCTCGGGCTGTCGTAAAGATCCATGGCCTCTGAGCACAATGCCTTCCATTTGAATACTCCCATCTTGCTCACTGCCCCCTTTCGCAGTTAACTTTTTATGTTGTTTGGGTGTTTTGTTGTTGATGAAAGACTTAGGCACTGACACTCCAGCACATGAACCACATGCTCTCATCCTCTGGCCAGGACCTCCGGGAATTCACAACCGTACGACATTACGAGGGCAACCACGCACTCTAGGAGAAACCACCTCCGGCTACTCTCCGGGTCGAATAGAACCGTCAACCCGCGATACCCGCGCCGTCTCTCGGCTTGAACTTCTACTGGGAGGTCACACTGCTGACGGTTGGGCTCCGCCCTCCTTGGCTCACACAGGTCTACCACATGTAGGGCCAGCTATCCGGGTGCCCGACAGGATATGCTTTGGTCGTCGGACGCGAAGGAGGGTTACTAGCCACTAGGGCTCCCACACTCAGGATTTGTGACCTCTGGAGCGTATGGAGCTGGGCTGTTTTTGTTGGAGAAAGAGTGAACGCCCGTCCTCCCGCTATCCTTGCTTAACACTTGCTGTTTGCATGATGAATGAGCTGACCAAAACTACCCACCGGACGACCCGCATCACAAAGCTCTTCTTTCTCTTATCCAGACAGAAAGGTCAGTTTAACCACCTACACATTTCCGTTCGCCAACAGTTTCCAACTCCTGAACACGCTACATTTACACCGTAGCAAAGGTCAGATACAGTGGGAAAAATTAGTCCGTGCAGCTCTGGTCTGGACAGTGGGACTTTCGTCAAATACTCCGCTTTGTAAGGCGTCAACAGGTGACTTAAGCGCTCTGACCCAAAAGAGCCGAGACGCCTTTATCTCTCGGTCAGTCATGTGACTGAAAAAACAATTCACTTTGAGGGTGCAGAAGCCGCCACCACGGGATTGTTCGTAGGCACTTATCCAGTCGGAGTTTGTCCGATTTACAACTGCTCCAGGCTTGTCACCTAGCATATGCCGAGGCTGACAGGTGTTGCTGGCGACAGCCGGCACAGCTCGACATACCCGGGCGTGCGCTAACAGATCTAATAACTCCAAAGCTATCATGCCTAGGGGACAGAGGTTATCCGGATTCTTACCGGGACAGTCCACAATTTTGGACTCCTCCCTCCCCTGTTTCACCACCCCAGAGTTTTGGTCCCCACTTTTACTCCTTGGACAGAGCGCCCATTGAGTGGTGCGTTATTCAATGTTATAAAGCTAAGTAGCTCACGTGAATCATGGAGTGGCGGTGGCAATGCTATCCAATTAAGCTATTTTATATAGTATGATCCAACAAAAAAGCGTCATCATCGCCAAGGGTGCTGACTTGGAGATCGCATGGTCCATGGCATGGACAGTAAACGGTCCAACAAAACGCTATGGAACAACTTTCCTCTCTCATCATCTAAAAGAAAGCAGGTCTAACCAAAGAGCATCCTTGAAACATTTTCTCAAAAACCGCTAAGAGAATACTGCCATTGGATGTAACTTTTAAGTGCGAGTTTTCACCGTGCTCATGCGAAAAAAGCGACGTCAACTACGGGAAAAACTAACAATACACGTTGAAACTGGATCTATAATAATAACTGATAGATAGTACTAGCTGTTTATTAGATTGTGATTTGCATTGAAGTGAAATAGAATATATCTAAGTTTAGACAGAGGTGGTTAACCTACTTTGATGATTTATACGCATCACTGCAGTTACTCACCATCCCACAGCCATTAAACTCAGGAAGTTTATTAGGAAGACGAATAAACTGCTTGGTTTAGAGTATGCGCCTCAGCGATACTTTGAGAGGGCTATTTGTGTTGGTCTAAAAAGACGGTTTGTCTTGCACCTAATGGATAGACTTAATTTGCATGTTTCAAATTAGCATGTTATAGAGAACAAGATCTTGGTCCATTTCCGTGCACTCTCTGCTTTCCATCCACAAAGACTCCAACTAGACGGAATTTCCTGTAACTTGCCTGTGTGGTGGCGGTTGCCCTATTAACCTTTATTTTGAACCACGCTGACAACATAGTATGTACCCTCTACCCACGTCTAACTTAAGTCGACAAGCTGCGTACTGCGTAAAAAAAACCCGAGTGTGACCAAACTGAGTGTCAAATGTGACATGCTTTCCCCGCCACTAGTTCAGACATGTCAACTATTACCTCCCCCCAAAAAAACTCCATGCTCCTATAGACAATATATTCGAGCAAGACCGCTGGAACCATGCGAAATCTTAGCGAAGCGACTGCTGGCGCGGCAGCCCTGCGATGG